TAAAAAAAATAATATATATTTATATATATATATATATACATTAAATTTTTTTTTTTTTTTTGTTTAACTCTGTAGCTTAATCTATTTTCAACTAAAAAAAAATATTACAAAAAATAAAATACAAAATTCCTAAGCGCTATTAATTAAACGCCGCTAGATGAGCCTTTTCGCCCACTGTGCGACCGGAGTTTTGACCGGATTTTTCCAACAAATGAGCTGTAATTTTGTATTTTGAGTTCCTAATAGCTACCAAGTCTCTCCACAAAAAAGTATATATATAGGTACATTTCTTCCGGTTGCCCCCATATAAGGATACCCTCCAATTTTTTGTATTTGGGGGTTCTTAAGCGCGGTTTTCAACCGAATTCGTTGTAATTTGGTATTTTATAGTCGTATATTGTAACAAATCTTCCTACAAAAAATTATTAATATTCACCCCTTTTTAGGGGTAGTCCTCATATAACCCCCTTTTTATACCATCCACCATAGATCGTTTTTCCGTTTGTAACTCATCGAAATTATCATTTCCGACCCTATAAAGTATATATATATATATATATCTTGATCAGCGTATGACGATATAACCATGTCCGTCTGTCTGTTGTAATCACTCTAGCCTCTAAACAAATTGAGATAGATCGCCAAAATTTTGCACAGAGCCGTCTTTTGTGTTCAGGCAGGTTAAGTTCGTAGATGGGCTTTATCGATCCACGTTTAGACATAGCTCCCATATAAGGGTTCTTGAGCGCGTTTTTCAACCGAATTCGCTAAAATTTGGTACATTGGGTTTTTATAGGGTACCGAATATCTCCACTAAAAACGATAAATATAGGCCCACTTTTTCTGGTAGCCCCCATATAAGGGTACCCCCCAAATTTTCGATATTTTGAGGTTCTTGAGCGCGTTTTTCAACCGAATTCACTGAAATTTGGCATTTTGAAGTCGTATATGGTAATAAATCTTCCTACCAAAGATTATTAATATTCACCCCTCTTTAGGGGTAGTCCCCATATAACCCCCTTTTTAGATTAAAATAGTTATCTGATTTGTTCTGCGTATTGGGGTTGATTCTAAGACTCTGTTGTAATTATTTCACCTGCGGGGGATATCGAGAACGTTGAACTATAGTCCAAATTTATGCCTAGCCTCCATATAATGATACCTTCCTATTTTTGGTATTTTTATTTTTTAGCGTAAAGAAATGTATTCCGATGCAAAAATTTTAATTTCGAAATAGAGCTATATATGTTCTCAATTAGGCCGAAATAAAACCTCTTAATTGCACTATTTGGGAGACGTCTTAATTGCACCCTACCATGCGTCGTCAATATCGGACTACTTTCTGGGGTTTTTAGGAAAAATATCGATTAAAAATTGCTGAAATTTGTATTTGGTGTACATTGGATTCTCGATATAGGTCCACTTTTGGTTATGTACCCTATATTTTCGATAATAGTATCCGTTAGTATACCTATGGTGGAGGGTATTCAAAGTTCGGCCCGGCCGAACTTAACGCTTTTTTCACTTGTTTCATCTCACCCTGTATTTAAATCTGAACCGATTTCAACGAAACTTGACGTTAGCCTACACAAACATGTACTGATGTTCAACAAAATTTTGTGACAATCGGTCACATTTTGGGTCTTTGGTGCACCATTTACTTAAAATCGCAGGAAACTATATATGGGAGCTATATCTAAATCAATGTTTAACCCGTTCAGTTTGTCCATCGCACAACGATGAGCAGACAATTTACAACCAATTTACTCTTAGATTAATAAAAATATTTGTATTTTCTTATAATCACCACAATTTAATAAATGATATTACACAACATCACATTTGGCCCAAGATTTTAAAACTTTGGCAACTCCAATATAAACCCTTGTAACTTTTGTTTTAATGTTTATCGACATAAATTCATGTTTGCCTTACTTCCTTTTGCCTCAAATGCAAAACTTAACAAATGGTTATGACTAAATTTATTTTGTATTTATTTTTCTCAGTTTATCCGCATCACTTGATGGTTACGCCAACAATTGAAGAGTTCGCTAACGAAAACTACTTCAACGCCAATGGACAACAAGCGGATGAGGACGATAACTGCAATGAAACAACCAAACAAAAAGGGCAACAAACATCAACTACGACAGCAAAAACAACGACAACTACTAGACAAACTTGTGACAATTGCACCGCCAAGGAAATACATCGAGTTACCCTTCAGCTGCTGGTGGATTCGACAACAACCATGGAAACAACCACTGAATTGTACAGCACCGATTTCATGTGGCATGTAACTTCTCCGATGGCAAACCATAAAACCAATAACTACATACACAACAACGACAACAACATCGTCAATTTTGAATTGTGGACACAGAAATATGTTGGAGCTGTGGGCAATTTGGATGCCATACATCTTGATACGTTCCTGGCGGAGACTCGAGCATTTGCCAAAAACGTTGAACTTTATCCGAATAAACTAAGAAATTTACAGCAACGTGTAATGAGAGCCAGTTCACTAACATATCTGCCGTATGTCAAAACTGATTATGTGGTAAGTGTACAGGGAGAGAGAAAAAGGATAAGAGATGGGTAATTATTAACAATATTAGGTATATGTACAGTGGATCAGTGGTAATGCAATAGTTATACCTTTGTGTTGGAATGTCAAGACATATTAAATAGGGGTTCCGGGTGAAGGAGTTCCGTTATGATGACTGAGGGTAGAAAATTCCTCATGAGGATTAGGTACTTGACAAGTATATAATAGACCCAGCAGGAAAAATTTGCATACATCACATTTGTGAGATATGGATAAAAAAAATTATGGTTAATTGCTTGTTTAAACCGGTATTTTTGAGGAGGCCAATAATATGTCTAGGGGTATTTAATTTAAGGTTCAAAAAAGTAAGAAGGAAAATACGCACAAATACTCGAGGTAGAAGGATTATATGATTTACATAAATATTTTTTATTCGATCTAACTGACTGAACTTGTCATGTGAAATTCGGATAACCCACAACAGAAGAAGACGAATAACTAACTAACAGACGTATCGAGTTTGTTATATGTCTATATCTGAACCGATTTCAGGAAAACTTGCCAGAGACTAATTTATATTACTTCAGTACGTTGTGTCAATCGGCCTAGCAACATCATTCTAGACTTAATTCAGTACCCTATACCAAAATCATTCTATACTTAATTCAGTACGTTATGCCAAATTTCGTGCAAATCGAAAGATATATAGGGACTTTTGTACACCATTTACCTTAAATCGGACGACGATATATACGTGAGCTATATCTAAATCGGAACCGATTTCCACGAAACTTTGCACACACCATTCTAGACCTAATTAATTATTCTGTGCCAAATTTCGTACAATTCGAAAGATATATAGGGACTTTGGTAAACCATTTACCTTAAATCTGACGAAGATATATAAATCTGAACCGATTTTCACGAATCTTTGCACACATCATTCAATACTTAATTCAGTACGCTATGTCAAATTTCGTGCAAATCGAAGGATATATAGGGACATTGGTACCAATTTACCTTAAATCGGACGAAGCTATATATGGGAGCTATATCTAAATCTGAACCGATTTTCACGAAACATAACACACATCATTCTAGACCTTATTCATTGCGCTGTGCCAAATTTCGTGCAAAACTAATGATATATATCGACTTTAGTGGACTATTTACCTTAAATCGGACGACGATATATACGTGAGCTATATCTAAATCTGAACCGATTTTCACGAAACTTAGCACACATCATTCTAGACTTAATTCAGTACGCTATGCCAAATTTCGTGCAAATCGAAAGATATATAGGGACTTTGGTAAACCATTTACCTTAAATCGGACGAAAATATATATGGGATCTATATCTAAATCTGAACCGATTTTTCCCAATTTCAATAGGGTTCGTCCTTGGGCCAAACGAATGAGCTGTGCCAAATTTCATCCAATTCGGATCATAAATGCGACGTGCACTTTGTTTACAATTTAACATGGACAGACGTCCGTCGGACGGACATGTATAAATCAGAATCTGAAAGTGATTCTATGCATTCTCAAAAGGAACCATTGGTCTATCTCGATTATTTTTTCCTGTTACAAACATATGCACAAAGACAGAATACCCTGTACCACAGTGTGGTGAAGGGTATAAAAATGGTGGAGGACCTCAAGATAGGGTAAAGTTCCAAACATGGTCATATATCGAAAATTTTATATAATTAAAAACCTCCAAAATCCCGAATTTAAAATTACCATCACTTCTTTCGGACTTTGATCGAGGTTATGTCAAACCGTGCACCAATATAAACCAGTAAGGAAAGTAGTAAAGTCGGACTGGGACGACTATATGATACCCTTCACCACTTTGGGTATATTGTACTTATGTATGCTTACAATTGACTGCCAATGTTCTCTCGATGGAACATACTGATGCCTTTCGCCAACCTATGCTAACTTTAATTTCATTTGGGCAGATTTAGATTGCTCTGCGTACCATGGGACAAATTTATTGAAACGGATTTATAGCAAAATTGATACAAGCTATTCGGTACGCTACACTTTTAAAAATTTAATCTCAATCAGACACCTGTTGGAAATACATATGGAAACTGTGGCTGCATTTGCACAAATTGCGGTAAAACGCCATAACGTCATTCAAGTCTCAACTTGATACGTTGTGAAAAATTTCGTTTTAATCGAACAAAAATTAGGAGTTTGGTGCATCATTTATGTAAAATCGGAAGAATATATATGTATATATCGGAGCTATATCTAAATCTAAACCGATTTGCCGAAACCAGAATCAATTCAGTACGCTATGCTAAATTTCGTGCAAATCGAAGGATAAATAGGGACTTTAGTGCACTATTTACACAAAATCGGTCGAAAATATATATGGGAGCTATATCTAAATCTGAACCGATTTTCACGAAACTTGACAAACACCACTCTCAACTTAATTCAGTGCACTATGCTAAATTACGTGCAATCGAAAGATATATAGGGGCTTTGGTACACCATTTACATTAAATCGGACAAAAATATATATAGGAGCAATATTTAAATCTGAACCGATTTTCTCGGAACTTAACACACACCATTCTAGACTTAATTTAGTTCGCCATGACAAATTTCGTGAAAATCGAAGAATTTATATGGACTTTGTTGCACTATTTACATAAAATCGGGCGATAATATATATGAGAGCTATATCTAAATCTAAACCGATTTTCACGAAACTTAATATATGTAATTCTAGACTCAATCCAGTGCGCTATACCAAATTTCGTGTAAATCGAAAGATATATAGGGATTTTGGTACACCATTTACAGAAAATCGGACGAAAATATATATTGGAGCTATATATAAATCGGAACAGATTTTCTCCAATTTCATTAGGGTTCGTCCTTGGGCCAAAGAAGTGACATGTGCCAAATTTCATCCAAATCGAATCATAAATGCGACCTGTACTTTGTTTACAATTTAACATATGCAGACGGACGGACGGTTATGCATAAATCGACTCAAAAGGTGATTCTATGCATATTCTCAAAACGAACTATGTGTCGATCTCGTTTCCTTTTGCCTATTACAAACATATGCACAATGACATAATACCCTGTACCACAGTGTGGTGAAGGGTACAAAAACAAACCATTGAGCGGAGTAGTATAGTCGGACGTGGCCGACCGTAACTACCATACCATACACTACCACTGAAGATTAAGTTTCTGTGGATCTATTTTTCGAGCTAGGGCAACATTTCCCTATATTTGCACTCTATTGACCGATTATATGTCAATAGCATCACTTCCTAACCCTGGCATATTTTCTAAATTTTGTTTTCCCGAGGTGAACATTTACGCCATAAAATAAAAAGTTGGTCACTTTAGTTTTTGGTTGATATGACCCTCAGAACAGGTCAGATCCCCTTCATCGGGTAAAATGCTCGATGTTCTGCTTATAATTATAACCTCTAGAGCGACTAGAAAATTTGACAAAAATAAAGTTTTCGGTTCAGTACACCCCTAAATACTATCTCAACACTACCGAAAGTAATAGGCGTCGTTCTTGGCGATAACCGGAACTTCCACGTATATTTTCAAGGCAACCAGAGCTGAATTTTCGCTCTGGAAAAAATATCATAAATCGTAAATATTTACATATAACATCCATATCCGAGTACATACAACAATATAATTGGTATCAATTTAAAGGTCAACCATCACTCAACTTCTCCTGTATATGTTCTTCAGGAGTAAAATTTTCCACTCTTCACACAAAAGTAAGGTTCCATTTGACCCGCTACATATTAAGCAATCTTATTTTTTGACTTGATCCCCTTCTCCATGCAAATTTTCGTTATGTTCGGGTCATAATTGTAGCCTCTAGAGAAACCAGAAATATAGACAAAAACCAGTGAGCGGAGCAGTATAGTCGGACGGGGCCGACCATATGATACCCTACACAACTACCACGGAACTCTAACTTTCTGCAGATCTATATCTATTTGCACCCTATTAACCGATTAGAGTCAATAGCTCCTATTTCTTGCCAGAAAGGTATTGGTTGACTTGACCCGATGAATAGTGACAGATCATTACAAAAGCCCATCAAATTAGTTGGCCAGATTCATTCTCCAATGTAACATTCTGCTTATAATTGTGGCATATAGATCGACATGATCATCGCCGCAAATTATAGGCGTTGTCTTTGACCATAACCGGAACTTCATGGAAACTTTAAAAGCGATCAGCGCTATATTTCCGCCTTCTAGTGTGGTAATGGGTTACTAAATAATATCTCAGTACGTAAGCACCTGTAAATATTTAAATGTAACTCCCACATCCGAGTACATACGACAATATAATTGGTATCAATATAAAGGTCAACCACTGCTCTTAGATATACTATCAACTTCTAAGGTCTGTGCTCTTCAGGGGTAAATATATATGACATAGAATACAAATTTTGTCATTTTTCACACAAAAGTCAGGGTCCATTTGACCCGCTAAATATTGACCAATCTTTATCAAAACAAGCATGCTTATTCTCTGGCCCGATCCCTTGCTCCATGCAAAAATTCGCGGTGTTTGGGTCATAATTGCGGCCTCTGGAGCGACCAGAAAAACCGACAAAAATTAAGTATTTGGTCCATTTCATCCCCTAAATATTAACCGACCTTTTCCAAAAACAATAGGGGTCTTCATTGGCCAGAACCCATCCTACATGCAAAATTTCGTGAAGATTGGTCCATAACTGTGGTCTGTATCTTGTTTAGAAATTATTATGGACAGACGGACGGACGGAAACACATGTCTAGATTTGGCCCATAACTGTGGCCTATATCGTGTTCACAAATTATAATGGACAGATGGACACACATGTCTAGATCTACTCAGCTAGTCGAGATATGAAAAATGGTATAAATGGTGGATCTAGGCCCAATATTTCGCGGCGTTACAAACTCTTGGGTTTGTACAAAGCTATAATAACTTGACTACATAGTTGTGTTGGG